CTCGTGTGATTCCCATTTGAGTACTGTACGTCAACCAATTCGAAATTGAGTGACGCGTAGCCGAACCGATACGAATACCGAAGTAGAAACACAATTGATCCGCAATGTTCTACGGTACTGAATTAACGAAATCATTACAAATGTACAATAAAGCAAACCTCAAATATGCGGCCAAAAGCACTCAAACAAGCGAACCAAATAAGATGTCCGGAGAGAGGCAAACAGTCGCTCCCGTTCTCGAACCACGCAAAATTCAAATGTGCCGGGCATAGAGTTAACAGATAAATAATGATGTGTGGTTTTAGCGACGAGAAATTGTCGTGTCGGGCATCGAATTAACAGATAAATAATGATGTATGGTGTTTGTGATCGAGAAATGTCAATCAAATGTGCAGGGCCATAGAGTTAACAGATAAATAATGATGTGTGGTGTTCATGATCGTGAAATGTCAATATAAGAGCAAACACATACAGATGGATTTATTGCACCATAAATCATTATGGGTTCGGAAGGATTTTCAAAAATTTCGGCATGAAATACACCGCTTGACGATAACTGATAATGATTGCGTGATAATTCCGCAACACTCCGCGAACACGTGCGGATTTGCGAACACAATTTGTATTGTGTAGTAGGTGTTGTGCATATTAAAACAAGCTGTTCAATCATGTCAGATAAAAGTGGATGGAAAAGTAAGACACAACAAGGTCATAGCCTCAAATTAAAAAAGAACCGTATCGACCTTCACTGACAGACTGAGTCACCGAGCAGGATCGTAGTGAAGACACTCAGCTGACATGTCACCCTCTCTTTTTCTTTCTTAAAATTTGTTTCCCCATCCAAGTTCAATGGATCTTCACTTGCCGCCACCGTTGGCGCCCTTTTGCTGCTCATTTTATCTCTGCTTCTACTTCTTTCCCAATCGTGCCTATCTCACTCTCCAGAACAGTTTCCCTCTTGAATCCCTTACTCAAACCTTAGACTTTTTAAGATTATCCCTTTTATGATTTGGTTGGTAGACAGACCGCCCGGTAAGTGGGTTACAGATAACAACCATGATCCTGCATGCACGAAGTGGAATCAGTGTCTGCAGGTCGGGACATCTGAGTCTGCTTACCCTATCCTAAGAGAAAAGGAATTTCAATTCTCATATTGTGGTAGCAGCGTGGGATCCAAGGAGCTCACTAGTGCAAGAACCTGGACACTGTGATATGGACGTGGTCCGAGAGATTAACGCCTTGAATAGGCATAAAGCAGCAGGACCGGATGGATTGCACCCT